AGTATATAAGTCTAACTGCTATTGTTATTGCTATTGCTAGATGGCTGTAGGATGGAGCCGAAAGTATTAGTTATTCACCTGTGTTTATCTTTCTGGTAGAACATTAGGCTAAGGGTGGGGAAGGAATCACTCAGTTGGAACAGGTACTTGATATTGCTTTTGCTAGCCTAGCTCTCCCCCTCACCCAAATGACATTTTGTGGTTGAAATGCACTGATTTATTTGAAACTGGTAGCTTTATTTTTTTGAATTAGGACCAAGCCAAAGTTATTTATTGGTCTGATGTTCAGCCATGGAATGTTAGCAACAACTGAATTGGTAATTCAAGGCAGTCATTTGCATAGTACAACTGTAAATGAGCGTGTTGCATCTTCCATAGCAGACATGTTTTATAATAATTCCATCCATTTCTGCACGACTTCTGTTATATGAGAAGGAAAGTCATTGTCCCACAATCATCGCCTTCATGTTATTTATGATTACAGAAGTATCTCCAAGTGTATAAATAATACATTTCACTGAATCCACCATGAATTTCTTACATAAAGACAAAGTGTAAAGCAAGATAGACATTAAACTGCCTATTGCGATTAAAGCTCATCCTGAATGTTTCAGAAATTTGTCATGATGACATGCTGAAATTAACTCCCCGTTTATTAACTTAAACTAACATTGACATCAGATAGGGAGTTAATGAAAAAAAATAAAATCCTTTTTCTTCAGAAACTTCCTTAAGGGAGCCAAGATCTATTAAGTGAATTATTGCAATATACTTTACTCACTGAGATCAAGGAAAAAATGTGAAGTTAATGAAACACAAAGCTTTTTTTTTTCTTGTCTGAAATAACCCTGAGGAATTCACGCTTTAGTGAATTGTAGCAATGTATTTCTCATCTCTATGATTTTTTTAATTATCCATTTCTCTTGCATCCACTTATTTTCACAAGTAAAATATAAAGTACTTTTGGACTTTGTGGCATCATTTCCTACGTGGTATCCTTCTCCAAGGCCCAGAATAGCAATTCATGGAAAAACACGTTTTCTGGGAAATAGGAACTGTCGAGTCAGCAGCTGGGATGAAATCAAGGGAGCTGGCAGAGAATTTGAACCCACAGCTTTGTAGTCCAGAGCCAAAACTGCTATCTTTTGAACGGGCAGTTATGTTAATTAAATGTGGGTATTCCAAGTACTTCCTTAGAATAATATTATTACTCCTGATCCTTCTATTTTTCTTGAGCAGATTTAGTGCTGGTTATGCTTTCTTCATGAACTGGCTGCAGATGTTTTCAATTGCTCCTTAATTTTTGTTTCATGTTCTTACACATGCAGTAGCTTCTCTTGCAATTTTATTCTATATTACTTTTACGGTGGTTATCGAGCAGATAGCTGTTCCTGTCAAAAGCACTGCTGGATGTTCAGGTACAAGTCATTAATGGAAAAGTAGAGGAATAAAAATAGGAAAAATATAAGGTGTATGTTTTGGTCCTATAACTAGTTTTTAGTTTTGAAAAGCGCCTCTTTTAGTGGCTTTAGAGTAAGTGGACCAAGTTCATCTGAACTATTTTCAGGCCTGGAGTTAATGTATGCTTAAAATGTGATTAACTTCTTGTAGGCAAATCTTCCTTCTTCCAGTATTGCGCCACCAACAATCTAGCTGCAGTTATTAAGTGCAAAATCAAATTAATCTCTACAGCTGTACAATCAGTAATTAATTATACCTAACAAAAATAACTGAGGGGTAAACTTTATCCTTTTTTTAAAGAATATTTTGCATAATCCACCATATTTTTATCCAAAATGCCTTAACCTTTTTGCAAGTCCACCATATATGAAAATATGTAGCGTCGAGAGAATCACATCTCCAGCATTTGGGTTGTAAGTTCGGATACATAGAAGCCAACTTTTTAGGATCTAAATGCCATCTATAAAACATAAAAGTTTTCTCTCAAGTTTTGGGCTTGTGTAAATTTTACATTTCTTACCCAGATCCTTTCCCATGTATCCAACATTATTGGTTCTTCAATATTTTGAGCCCGCTTTATGATACAATCTTCAACTAATTCTGTTTCGGAATCCATCTGTATTAATACATTGTATATTCTCTTTATATGCATTAAACTTTGATCTCTTATTTGTTAATGCGATTAACTTCTTGAAGGATGTTAAATGTAGATGTATATAACCAAATGAGGTAAATAAAAATATGCCTTACCTTTTGCTTTCACTGAGTAAGTCCATCAGAGAGACAAACCACCTGTTGTTTTGTATATGAAGTCTGTTTAGACGGACAGAGTAGTGTGACACCTAATTGAGTAGGAAGTGTTTAGACAGATGTAATTATGTGGCACCTAATTGTGTTCTTGGAAGCACAGACATGTTTCTAATTGCGCTGCAGAATCCACCCATAACGCCATATTGAATGTTTCAGCCTGCTGCTAATTTGGCCATGTTCTATTTGGCTCATTTGTATATCAAGCAATGAGACTTCCATCTTTCTGCAGACCAAAACAGCTTTTCTATTTTGCAAAACAGCATCTGGAAAGCAAGAGAAAGAACTGAGAAAACCATATTCACATTGCTAAATCCTGCATCTTCGTTGATGATGAAATACTCAAGTTTATGTATCTGTGTCAAATACATACATGTTTTATGTCAGGAGGAATGAATAATCTCCTCCTGGGAATGGACTTTTATTTTGTTACAAAGTCTATTCTAGCTACTCCTCCCTTTCCGCATCTTCTAAATTCAGAGGAACTCTCTTATCTTTCACAGGTTAAACAAATTGTTTCTGAATTTCCTGGGTAAATCTTTTCCCCCTGCTTTTCTCTTTTTAAAAGTTTTTTTCTGCTTTCTTGTTACAATGCTTTCTACGGTTAAAATATACTCTCTAATCTCAAACCAGAGTCACTTTTTCCAATCTGGTTTACCAACACTGCAGTAGATTTGAATAATACAAAATTTTGTGCTCTTGCAATGCAGGGTAATTAATAGGGGCAGAAACTTTTAAGATCCGTATTTACTCACCTGGAATTGCTCTGTTTCTATGGATTTTGCAGGAGGAGAGCAGTTTAGCAGCCATAATGCATTCTTTGAAAGGCAGAAAAGAAATGTGGCAATTTTCAGAGAGAATGGAACTGAACTTTTATAACTCGAATATAAATATGTTGACATATTGAAAAGTTTTTCATAAATGTCACAAAGCTACTCGTGTCTCACAGGAGCGGCGCTGCAATAACAAAGTAATTTGAGCATCTATGAGAAATATATATCTTTAGTTTCAATTGTGACTTCATTTTACAAAAAATCTTTGTGTCCTATATTTTATTGTTCCAGAAAGATGCAGGAGTAACATTGGGTTTGCTACCAGCATCTGCTATTTTAAAGCTTATGACCTGAGCTTCTTATTTAATTTCTTTTTGATATATCTACATCTTGATATATCTCCAGTGAAATTTCAAATAAAACAGTTTACAAGAATAATTTAAACAAGTAGCTAGTGTAAAACCTTCATACTGTAGGAAATACTATCAACTTCTGAAGTGATCGCTACTCAAGATAAAGAAACAGATTTCCCCCCCACCCTCCATGGATTCTCTCCATGGAGAAAACATAGTAGGTTGATGAAGATCTTCAGAAGACCCCAGATGACTTCAGAAGACCCCAGATGACTATAGCACTGGAACAGAGATATAGTTGGAAGCTAGAGAATGGCACCTTCTCCATTGAAAGTATGATTATTAAAAGATCATTGGTTTACATTCCTATATCAATCTATACAACATATTTGTGATAGGTTATACGGAGTCCTGAATCATATGCAACCAGCTCTTAGCTAAGCATTCATTATTATCTTTGATTTAGTCAAGGTCCACAGAGAGATATTCCTTCACCCTTTATTATAAGGTTGATTATCCTATTGTGGATTTGTGATCAAAACTCTGAGGCTGTGAAATTACAATTGGGTGTGAACAACCCTGTAAAAAAATATATTATATACTATATCCACTGAAATGTCCTTTGTCTATCCTGATGTTGCTATATCTTCCTTTCAGCTTTTCAAGGTAGGCCAAATCAGGAAACTCACAGGAAGGCTATATTCATTGAGATAGGCTATAATAACAGAATCTCGAAAATCTGATTGTGGTTCTCCTTCCTTCCATGCTATACCACAATTAGTCATGGTGGAGTTAGTCTCCCTCTCTTCTTAATACTGTCTTCCTTCCCAGGACTTAAGGAATGTTTCCGTCCTCTTGATTTACATAATGATTTGCTTTCTGATTCTGTACACTTCCTTTGTTCAGTCGAACAAAGTCTACTTATTAAGTAGACTTATATACCGCTTCATAGGGCTTTCAGCCCTCTCTAAGCGGTTTACAGATTTTTAGCAAATTGAGTCAGCAAATTGCCCCCACAGTCCGGGTCCTCATTTCACCCACCTCGGAAGGATGGAAGGCTGAGTCAACCTTGAGCTGGTGAGATTTGAACTGCTGAACTGCAGATANTTTGAGGTTGAAATATGAACTCCTAAATATTTGACCTTTTTAACTATTGACCTTTTTAACTATTTCGCCTCCAGCAACATTTTGAATGAAGAAGACGTGAACTTCCTCTCCCACCAGGGGTCTCCAAGGCTGCTTGCTCACCTTGTCTCTGGAAAATCGCTTTGCTTGCTCGCTTGTTCCAGGCTTGGGGTTTGGGGCAATGGAGAGCGGTCCAAACAAGGCTGGCTCCTTTGGGTCCCTGTTCTGAAACAGCCTCTTCTGGGCTCCCCAGATTCCCTTGAAGGGATTCTGGGGGCTTGGGGAGGTCTGAGCGATATGGTAAAGCTGGGGCGGGTGGGACATGTAGACCTGCCAGGAGTCCTTCATTGTTTCTTGCCTCCCACCAAGACGGGGTAGTAGTTGAAGCCCAAAGTGCTGTTGCAAACTATCTCACCCTTTGTTAAAAGCTGAGCTAGAAATATTGGGGGACCTTCGGTCTGATGTCCCCAGAGAAGGATTGGCTTGAGCTGCTGAAGTGGGCCAGATCCACCAAGGATCCCTCTTCCTTCCTTCCAGGCCTTTTACTACCCCAAAGACGCAGGGCTCGCCTTTGGGGGTCCCGGCTCCTCCAAATATTTGCGCCTGGAAGTCCACTACCACAATCCCCTGCTGTTGGAAGGTGAGTGAGACCCAGCAGACCTAGGCTGGCCCCTGGAGTCTGATGCTGAGGCTTTGGGGATCAGAGAGAGAACAGAGGGGAGGGAGGGAGGAGAGGAGAAGGGGCTTTCTTCAGGAGGAACAAGGCAGCCATCTCACCCTCCATCTTTCAGGCTGCCTCTTCCCCTGCCAAGGTCTCTCCTGGCCTTGCCTAAATTGAGCCAGTGGCCCCTTTCTTGCAGCCTTGCCTCCTTCAAAGCGAAGGAAAGCAGCCTCCGGCCAGCTTGGAGCTGAAAAGGGGCCACACCGTCACTTTACAGATCTCCATAGGGGGCCCTGCTCCCCCTTACCCCCTGTGAAAGCTCCCCCCATCCCTGCTGTCTTTCGCTGACCTGGGAAGGAGCCCCCCCCCCCCCCCCCCCCCC